AAAGACACATTTCCAAATTCTAAATAAATTCTAATAATTAATAAATTTAAAATATTGAAAAGTTATTATTATAAATCTTTCATCGCATAACGTTTAAATAAAGAAAAGATCTTTAATTGTATATAGTAAGTTTATAATCAAAAATTAATACGATAGCTAACAACATTTTATTAAGAATTGAAACATAAATTTTAATTTGGGGGGCTTTATACACATCCAACACGTAGTCATAACAAATTCTCTTGATAAAACTTCTCTAACAGGCACATGATCATGCTTTTTTTTTTGTCAATCACATGATCATGATCATCACCAAGAATGTATACATTCTTTAAATAAAATGTGTTTCTCGAAGGCCAAAGTCATATATATGTTGATACTTGATAGTATATTAGTTTAGTGCATAAATCATCCTTTTTAAATGGAGTTGAACTAATTACTGTATGATTTTACATACTCAGTTAAGGGTACTAGCTTTTTCTTTTCTTTTTTTTTGTTGTCAGTTAAGGGTACTAGCTAGACCACCTTCCATTTGGTAAAGAAAATATTCATAAATTTTTTAATTTATAAATCACGAGGTACCTAATCTACAAACTCAGAAATAAATATAATGAAAATATAAAACTATATAAGAATCACATGGAAATCAACTAGAGGAAAAAAGAAGAAAACAAATATAGTTGCTAATCCGGAAGTTTAGTAAAAAAAAAATGGATAGGTTTCAATTTGGAACATAAAAGAACATCCAAATTTTGAGTGAAATGGTTCTAGAAGTGATCCGAGAGACGAGCGTGATTGTGATATATATCGAAGAGTGACATTGGACCGAGAGGTGTCGAAAATAAACTCCCTTGCACTCTAGCTAGTAGCTTGGAATCAGAAATCCTATACATATTGTTAGTGTCCCAAAATGTTATTCAAATTCCAAAAAAAAACATAAAAGGAACACATCGCTCTCTCTTTAGTTTCTACTAGTTAATATTGATGAATAACTCTATCGAGTAAGAATCATAAATAAATAAAGAAAGAGACTCATCGTGCTTCACTCTCTTTGCAGGCGCATCCACACATGAATATATAGGTCACGTGACTCACGTTATACAACCACGTCATTATCCAATCTCAAATCAAAGCTACTAGACATTAACCAGCTAGAATTCATAGTTCTTTTTGTTCACATTTGCGTTTACTTTTCTATATTTGGTATGTATATTTTTCAAATGAATTGAACTCACAATCATACCATGTTATAAGAAAAACTTTTGTTAAAAAATACGCTAAAAACAAACGAAATAAAACATTTCTATTGGCATTTTTGTGTATTTTGTAAAAACAAATTATGAAAAACTGAAATTTCTTCGATACTTCAGATCAGTAATTTGTTTTATTAGTACTTGCATGCAAATGCGAACATGTTTGACTTTGAAACAGTCAAATTCTCATTATTTTTTTCCGTTCAAAGAAAACGAGAGAGCATTTTTACCTAATAGATTATGGGAAATCATAAGGAGGATACGTGACAAGTAAGAGCGGATTATATGTTTGTCCGTTTGTCGTGCTAGATTGGATTAATGAACACTACTTTCAAAATGTTGGTAATTACTTATGCTCAAAGAACCTAGCTAAGATCAATTTTCTACAAAGAATATTTGAGCACTGTAATGCTAATTCCAAAATGTTCCTCTAATGAATTGGACACATAGAGTAGTAGCAATAGAGTAGGAGTACCGACAAAACACAACGATCACTAATGATAATCAGCCACTAAAGCAAATTATAGTGGGACGAAGACAAGAAGACCCAATGGAAGCATGAAACACGTTCGGATGTATATGGGACCAAAAATATCATTAAGTTTTAACTTTCGTCCTCCCAAAACGAAAGGAGATTAAAAAAAAAAAAACAGTACAACCAATTGTTGGTGACATAAGAAAATGGCAAGATTTTATGTAGCAGTAGTCCAAGACCTACTTGGTATCAACAAATTTATTTTATTTACGTTAATATTTCCTATATAATGTTTGAATAAATTATTTTGAATCTTATAAAATAATAAATTTATAGTTTTTCATTTATTCTGTTCAAGATAAATACGTAATTCCACTCTTCATTATATTCAACGTTATTGGATATCCAAATATCCAAAACGGATCATATATATCAGCATTTTGTGGGAATTTTAATCTGGTCCTACTAACTTAAGATATTTTGTCGACTAGATACGTTAAACATTAGAATATTAAAAGAATGACCTCTAAATCAAAACCACCTGTCATCAGAAACAGTGACTCACATCATTATTTGTAATAAACAAACTTTCATCTTTTGTTTTTATTTTTCTTGCAAAACAAAACAAAGATTCTCCTAATAATTTCGGAACCAAAAGAACCCAAAACTAGAAAACAGAGAAGAAGAAGAAGAAGAGAGCAAAAAATTGGTGATGTCAGCTTCCCGATGGACGTTGATGGATCTACCATCGTACCTGTCGTCATCGTGGGCATTCCGGTGGTCGGAGGTGAATCTTTCATCCCTGAGCTCTGGTTGGAACATGAGATTGTTGTCCTTGTCGGGTGATCTCTCCATAGTTGATGATCTTTTGTGGAGTTTTGTCTCAATCATTGAATCTTTAGCTATCACTGCTACGGTCTGTTGCTTCTTCTTGTTTTGTGGTTGTACCCTCTAATTCCCTTTTTTCATTATTTAATTTTCCGAATTTTATTGCCAACTGAAATCTGTGTAAATAAAATAATCAATTAAATTCGAGACTTTTCTAGCATCCTCACTGAGTTCTTGGGTCTTCAAATATGGAGAAACTAAAGAAAATGAATGACATTTCCTTATAGATCAAAGTGATATATAACTTAAGATTAATTTGCCTTTCTTATAGCAGGTTCTTCCCAGTTTTCCTATGAGACTATTTTAGTACTATTATTTTGGTCAAAGTTCTTTTAAGTACTTAATGATGATCTAAGTACTATCTACTAGTTGACCAAAACAAAAATGTACTTATCTTATACTTAATTATACACTAATTTTCATGTTTCTAAATTCTAATTGTATACGTAACCTAACCAAGTTCCAATTAATCCATTATATCTATGTATTTGGAAAACAAATACAGATTGAATGTTGTAACTAGATAGCAAAAAAAATGGTATGTTAGCTTAAAAGTAAATGTAACAGATCAATACGTTAAACGAGACGTAGATGGTACGTAACTACGTATAAGTATAACTAACATTCTTTTAAGAATACGAGTCAATTATTTTTATTCGCAATTGAGAGGTTCTCGTAATAAGGATTTCCGTTGAGGTGACTAGTTAATTATTTTATTCCATTGTAAGAGATTACATTTGTATATAACGAATCTTCCACGGGTGATAAAATATACCAAAGTTGTGATCAGTTTTGTTAGAAGCAAAAACAAGAGGAAATCGAGTCATGTTTGTTCATTAAGATGGTGGAGTTTAGAGCTAAACAATTCTGACTTTTTAGTAGGGTCTTCTGTCATAGCCTTCGGTCATGGAAACTCCGAAGCGATCCTTCTTCGGCCAGGGATAGACGTGGCCGTAGGCGGCGACACCTAGGTAAGTCAACTTTTTCCTTTTGGTGTAGTTTAAAAAAGAAAACGTTTTCCTCTTCTACTTCTACCTCAAAACTCGTTTTCTTCTCTCTCACACACGATGCAATTATTGCATATAAATTAACCTTTTGTCGAACAAAGTAAATGGGGGTGTAATAAAAAAATCTGAAAAAGTTTAGAAAAAACTAGAGTTGACTTAAGAAAATTAGTAAAAGCGAATTCAATTCCACCTTTTTTTTACTCTTTAATTTATGTTCTCAAACACAAATTTTTTTGATGCTATAGACTCGAAATTTTTACTTCTTCTGATTAATTCCTGCCCCATCTCCTACATCTGCGTCTACTCCCAAAAACAACCAAGGTATGTTCTCGAAATTATCTTCATCTTTGAAATATTTTTGAACCACCCTTGCTTATTTTTGATTTTGCTCATACTTAGAGTCGCATTGTGCTTCATGTGTGACGATTAGGTTGCTATTAGTCATTATAATCGCCCCCTTTTGTTGATTACTTTTTTTGGATTTTAAATGTGGAAATTTTTGAATTTTCAAAGTGCAGGGCTCTTGAATTTTGAGAAATATCGAAAATTTTGGAGGAATTTGGGGATTATGGATTCAATTAGGGGTGGGCAAACGAGAATTTGTCGGAATGGGATGCGGACGGAAATTTTGGGAATAAAAAAACATATCCCATATATATGTCCCATTTAAATACAGAACGTGAGCGGATTGGAGCGGGACGGGACGGGATGTGAACGTAGAGGGTAATCCTAGTTGAACGTGTATAGTATAGGTGGATTGCTATAGATACCCATTTTAAAAAAAGGGTAAGAACAATAGATACTTGATAGTATGTAAAATGCACTTCAAATGGGCTTAGAGAACGTATGGCCCATGTCTAGAACACAAAACTCATTTCGTCTTTAAGAGACCAACATGTGAGTGAGATGTGTCCATTTTATAAGAGTCCCACATCGCTTAGACCTGAAAGAGTGATTAAGGAAGCAAAGACTAAGAGAAGATGTGGACCGTCGAAGAGAATCACTTACCTGGACGGGGTCGACTTGCGACCAAGAAGACGAGTGGCCTAAGCTAGTGACCTACATTGCACATAAAAGAACGGTGCTTAGCTTAATCCTTAAGGTCTCCTCAACTGTGAGAGCATGCGTTATTATTTGTGGCAGAGGGGTCATCCGTTAGCGCGGTCACTACCATTAATGGTTTTAGTTTGTTTTTTCCATGTTTCCATTTCTAAGTTTTAAGTGATAAGGTAATTGACTAAGTTCTTCTTTTTGGAATGCCAAGTTTTGAATATGTTAAAGTTATTGTTATGGTATACAGTCCTACATCGGAAAAATGCATCAAGTAGGTCGCTTTTGTTTTGATATAAATAAAGAGGTTTGTGTTGAAAGAAACTTATCGTTGCGCTTGGGACAATGACACATCTAATGAGGTTCTAACCGAGATGCGTCTATGCTGGTTGAAAACTATTTCTAAACCCCCTCCTAACCCTAAGTTTGTCTTGGGCCTTGGAGAATTTTTGTATTTCCCTTTGGGGTAAAGCCCTTGAGTTTTCAAATGTATATTTTTCTCAAGTTATGGCATTGAGTCTTCTTATGACCTAAGGGATCAAGAATTTATGGAAGACGGTTTGTAGCTAAGACATGAATAAAAGTCCTTATTGTGGTTATGTTATAAGGGATCAATATAAAACTCTCAAGTTTACAAACAAAAAAAAAACAAAAAAACGGACTAACGTATTTGTTTTTACTTATTTTGCTGTCACCATTTAAATGGACTAACTTATACGTGTACAAGGGTGTGTTGTGTCTGTTTGTAACTTTGTATATGTGTGTAACTTTACGGGGATGGTGCGATTAAAGGAACACATTAGTAATAAGTAATAACTCTCCATAATACAAAAAGCATGCTTTGTTTTGATACTTAGTTGGTGATGGAATAGGGTTGATGAGTAGCCTGTTAGAACTCCTTCTGTTTCTATTTTTTTAGTGATTAAAAGACAGCCCATTATGGACATTACTAACTCTATGCCTTTTTTCATTTACTTTTATATTTAATATCAGCCATACATGACTTGCGTAGCTATCGGCTTCCTGAAAAAGACCTAAAGCATATATGCACGCATATATACCTTCATACATCAACTTTATGATATATCTTTAGTGTGTTTGTGTGTGTGTGTTAACTAATGTCAAAGGATGAGTTACATTAAAATGAATTTTAACGAAGTATAGTTATACATAGTTACATACCATAACAGTCCAATTCATTTTATTTTTATCTTGTAATTAAAATACTTGAAAAAAGGAGAACTAAAGAAAGGATGTTGATAATGTCAAAAATTAAATATGGTCCATATGACCATATCTACAAGACTACAACTAAGTAATGGGTGGGTCAAGTACGCATGTAGATATAAACAGTGTGCTCATTAATCCTGAAAGTCTTTTTGAATTTTATTTGTGATGATTGAAGACTAACATAAAAGTCGCAGTGAAGAAAACTATAAAGGAGACTTTGAGTTTAAGACTAAAAGTTCTCTCTTTATGAATCTTTATATAAAGATGAGAATATAAAGCTAACATTTTTAGCACCTATATGACTGATTCATAGATATGAAATATTTTTTTTTATTATTTAGGCTTTTTGTTATCATTTTAAAAGTTATATGTAGATGTCGTTATGGTATATATGTTTACTTATGAATAGTATGATGTGAAATTACTGTAGTTATGAAAATTGAGAATATATATGAACGTCCAATAAAGTATTAATTTACTTTCAAATATCTTATATCTAATCTAGCCAAGGATCACATTAGGTCATATAAGATTTTGTTTTGTGTGATGGCATTGCATCTTGATGACTATAATACAAAAACTGATCAAGTTAATATATGTAACTATAAGGAATATACATGATTCTAGAATAATATATTTGTTGTGAGCAATGGTAAGCATATAGATGATTGAATAGCAACAAACCTCGAAGTATCTTTGTGTATACTGTATGTTATGTAAATCTACATCGATTAGGATGGATATATGAAAATAAAATAAATGTAAGATTCTGAGCCGGGCTAGTGATAGCATGATTACAAATTAGATGGTCTAGAAACACTATAATACAACTAAATACATACTATATAACTAGATTAAACTCTTCTCTCTCCGAAGTCATAAAAAGTTAACGATACATCTTTATTAATACTCAAACAAAAAATGAAGTTATACCTATATCACATATGCTACATAAACCTCTGTTCCAACTTAGCGTCGATTGCTTATTTCGTGGTGATGAAACAAAACCGATGCTAAATGTAATGAAGAAAAAAACATTAGAAAGCCATCAACATCGGTTTACCTAAACCGACCAAAAACTCCTCATGAAACCTACCTACCGGATCCGGCCAAAAGAAAAAAACAATTGCCCCGGGAAAAAAAACTTCTTCATTTCTTATTCTCTTCATTGGTTTGAGTGTTAATAGTATCGGATCTGATCTGCGAAGGAAGAATATCTTGAAGCAATCCATGATCTCTAATGGAAGAAGAAGTTGAAGTAGAAGCTTGAGACATATCATAACCAAAGCCGGGGAATGATGATGATGGACCTGGATTTACGAAAGTGCCATCGGATGATCTTCTATTGATCATACTTAGAGAGTTGTTGTTGTACATGTTGTAGGGCTGGTGATGTTGAGTCAGCAAGTAACGTGGCTGAGGGATGGAGAATGATGATGATGACGCGGTGGTTGCACCGTGGTCTAGGATTGGTGACGTGAGCATTCCGATGTGTCCACGTGGCGTCATGGGGAAAGGATGGGTATGCTGACCTTCGTAGGTTGTCATGACGATCGAAGGATCATCGGAGGATCTCTCCACTCTCTTCTTCACTCCGCAACCCACTGTGGTGCAACGGTAATAGCTTCTGTATTTTCAGGAAAAATAAATAAATTAAGTACTAATACATTTTCAACAAATTTCTAATCTATTTTAGTTTGAAACATGGAAGATATACAGAGATACAGAAGATCTCGAGATCTGAGATGAAGTTTGGAACAAGATGAAACAGAAATCTTCCGACACAAGCAACATAAATCAAGGGAAGAATAACACAAAACATAGAAACCTCATGGAATGGAACAAAAGAAAAGATATTCTCGAAAACAAAAATTCAAACGTTTTTTTGACCCTACAAAAACGCGTATTAGGTATATACAGTCGTCCATATTAACATATAGTGTACATATATATGATTGAATAGGGTCATGTTATATGCATATTAGACTCTGCATATATAGAGAACACTGAATCTAGGGCTACTCTACACACACCTAAATATAAAAAAAAATTATATATGACTACAGATATGGTGTGTTATGTATATCAATATCTGAATGAACATGCATATGTACAATATGTAGAAAAATGTGGATGATCCATAAATTGGATAAACCCGATCTAGCGAAATATACTTACATGTGCATATAAAGTAGATATGCATATAAATATCTTTACATATAAAGTATATGTAAACACATGCATATATAGTGAGCATGGTCTGATGGTCTAAATGGATCTAGCTAGGGCTGCAATATATATGTATATACAGAGTTATATGTATTTATACCTGGGATAAGGACTGTTTTTGACAGCTTTTTGGCCGTATTTTCTCCACCTATAACCGTCGTCAAGATTATCAATATCGCTCTTCGTCAGAAACGCAAACCTAGCTTCTCTAGTTTTCTTTTGACTCTTCTTCTTTGCCTTCAACCTTCAAAAAGAAAAGAAAGAAAGAAAAACTCACAATAATTAATAAAAATCCAACACAAATCAGTATCAGAATGGAGGGTTAATGAATAAACTTACTGTGGCTTAGTACCCTTTTGCTCTTGTTGTTGATCTCCTTCTTCTTGATCTTTAACAGTAACTTCTTTACCACTGTTGTTATCATTTGCAGCTTCGTTGGAGGAAGATGAGACTGAGGTTGAGTTTGGAGAAGTCGGTGTTGTGTTCACGACTTCTGATGACTCAGCTTGAGGTAAGGGCAAATCCGTAAGAAAAGAGGTGTTGTTGTTGTTATTGGGGAGAGGAAAGGCATCAAATGAAAAAGAAGAGGAATTAGAGGAAGAAGCAAACTGGTGATCTTGTCGGAGCAAGTCTAGGAAAGAATTAGGATTATTAGAAGAGTGATCTTCGAAATAAGAATAAGGAAAAGGTAAAGATGAAGTATCGAAGATGCTTGAGAGATTTCCAGCTAGCTCCAACTGATGATGATCTGATGACGTAACTAGATTCGCCATGTTTGATGATGATGATGCTTGAGAGATTTCTTGTTTTTGTTCTTGTTCTTGTTCTTGCTCGATCTTTGTCTCTGTGTTCTTGATCTCCTTTTGTTGTTGTTGTTGATGATGATGATGATGATCCTCTTCTTTTTTCTTCTCCATGTAATAGAGAAAAGGATGGAATCTATGAGATGATACTTTTATAGATATATATCATCTTCTCTGAGATTTCGTGAGGGAAAAAAAGGAAAACTTTTCTTAAGCTTTCTGGGTGATTATATGTTTTTTATTTTGTAATGGTTTATAAGATTTTTTGAGATAAGAGAGAGGTGTGAATATAACTTTTGTGGAGTTTTGGGTTCTTCTGGAAAACAGCTTGGATTTAGGAGGTTTCCCATTTGTTTTTTTTTATAATAATTATTTATTATTTCGTCTCATTTACGCGGGCAAAAGAATATAAAATAAAAATGGAATTAAAATATAATAGAAAGAAAGAAAACACTGGTCACCGGTAAACGCCGGTGAGGGGTGTGTGGCGTACGGTTGTGAATGGATCAAGACGGTGCCGTCCTCTGCCGAGCATTTAATTTTTGTCCCTTCATTGCAGTTTTTTTTCTTCTTTATTCCCACATTGTGTCGTGTCTCCAAACGGCATTTGTTACAATTTGGTCTCTAATTCTTGAATACTAACTTGACTTTTTCTTGTCCAAATATAATTCGGGTTCGTTACATTTCTTTTTTTTTTTTGTTACATTTCATTTTTACTATTCACGTGAGCAAAATTAACTATTTCCAATGATTAGTGTGTGGTATAAGCTATATATCGATGGGTTACCGTTTATGAGCTTTCGAATATTTTTATTCTTTCATCATAATCACAAAAAATATATACGTTTTGTATATTCATAATTGTAAAGGGGGCGAAATTAGAAAAGACACTTTTGATAGATATCATATGGGCATTTAACTCACAACCATATATGCAAAAAAAAATTAAGAAAATTTTACTATTAACTAGATTACAATTCGTAGACATCACGCCAAACTAAAGTATAGTTGAGGAGACTAATAAACAGTCTCATTTTGTGAATATTTAAATATTACAAATCATAACGTTTTAACATGTAAGCCGATTAAATATTAAGCATATTTTTATGAAGAAAAATGTTCATTTTAGTCTTTTAAATACGTTCTCTTCCACCGATTTTGTTTACCATACGAAATGTATGGACATAGTTACAACGGGGCTGATCA